GGAGGACTATGAATCATTAAGTACTCCACAATTACACCCTGAGAATTTTGTGAGGAAAGATTGACCATATACAGTCGTTGAATCTCATCTCAACGAAAGAATGCTCCAAAATTCATAGTGAGGGGTTTTAATCATCTTGAAAATGATTAAATAGCCATAGTGGGAGGTTCTTAATTATTTTTATCATGATTAAGAATGAATTATTTCAATGATTGGTTTTCACCTTTAATAATCAATTAGTTTTGGGTTATCCTTAAGAATACAATGTGTAATATTCTTCAGGAACTTCCTATTAAAATACATTGAGGTATTCCACCAATAGCTCTTTGGCGAACCTGAATCTAATTGTATTCGGTCATATTGTTGGGTTATCCTTAAGAATATTAAGAGTAATATTCTCCAGGAACTTCCCGTTGTTGGAAATAAAGGATGCAGTTTAACCCCGTATACCCATCAGAGGAAAGAGAGAAGTAGTTTATACTCTTATACTTGTCGGAGTCTCAGGAATCAGTTTAACCTCATGTACCCGTTGGAGGTTCAACGAGATGCAGTTTATACTTGTATACTCATCGGAGTTATTGTCATCCTCATTTGGCTTGTTTTATCGTTATGACACCGACATCAACCAAGGCTTGAATGTTATTCTTCAGAGTAAAACAATGCTTGGTTGGATGATGGACCCTCCTATGATACGCACAGTACTTTAGATCCAAGGTCTTATTTGCTTCCTCCTGATTTGTAACCGGTGGCAGATTGATTTTGTTATTGGTGAGGAGGTACTCAAAGATGGTTGGAACTTCATCATCTTTGAAAGAATACTCCTGCTGGGATCTAAGATCAGTTGCAGGTGCCTTAACCGTCGATTGGCTTCTCTCAGCCTTCTTTCTTTTGAGAAAGCATTCGGCCAATTCATCGCATAATTTTAACTCTTTCAACATGGTTGAGCGTACAACTCCCATGACCTCTAACACGTCTATGGAAAGATTGTTATGATAGGTCTGGAGTATGAATTCCTCCGTGACTGGATCCTGCCAGTTCATCGCCTGGTTGCCAAAGCGTTTGACAAAATTATCAACCGTCTCCTCGTCCTTTTGCTCCTCATCTAGAAGAGTTCTGATCGACACTTCAGTGTCGTTATCAAAGAAGTGGCTGAGGAATAGATTCTCCATATCGTCCAAGTAGTTAATGCTTCTTGGTTTGAGACGTCGATACTAGTTGAAGGCGGCCCTACGAAGGGTGCCTACAAATGACCGAATCATCAAGGGTTCATTCAAAGAGATTATACCCAAATGAGATTTGAAGTAAACCAAGTGTTGGGTTGGCGAGCCTCTCCCGTTAAATGGCGTGAAGTTAATCAAATTGAACTTCGATGGGTATGAAATCGCATCTCACTCTCTTGGGTATGAACACGGAATACCGGTCTTCTTTACTTCCTGAGCAGACATCAAGACATTTACCTTATTCTCCAACTCTTTCATCATCTGGACGTCACCTTCATCTCTCTTCGAGCAATATTGAGAAGAAGCAATTGGACCACCCCCAGTGTTATTGAGGGGTGTATCAGTCTTGATGACTTTATCCACTTCTGGATCACTGTCGTCTGTACCATTTTAAAAGCGCGTGACTGGTGTAGTGCGGCGACTTGATTCAGTCCACTGACTGGACTCTGGTGGTCGAAGTCTTTGAGCCTACAACTCTCTCATTTGCTACATATATGGCCAACTCCATCTCTGTTTTCATTTCGGCTCTAAGCTCTTCTCGTTGTTTGGCTAGAGCTTCTTGAAGGGTCTGAGCTACGAGATCATGAGTGATCATGAATGCCTCCCTGGTTTCCCCCATGGTAGACATGGTATCGTCGGAGGCGATTGTGAAGAAAGTATCCGAAAGTTCGTTCTCCGAAGACAATCCTTCATGTATTCTCAGGTAATCCCTGCATCTGATGGCTCCTAGCTGGAGTCGAGATATTAGTTGGGCTATTCCTGAATCGGCTTTTCTTCCTGGAGAAAAGTTGATTTTAGAGCCATTTGAAGCAATCACAGACTTTCCTTTGTCAGCCATGTTGATGGTGACTTCGGGGAATTCATCATCCTGGACGGTGAATTTTCTCTCGTGAAAGCGTTTTGATCTGAGCTTTGATGCTTCAGTTGTAATTTTCTCTAATACCAAGACCCTTTGTGAAATGGTCCTGGGACAGCTACATTTTGATAATACTACCCTGATAAGTCTCTCGTATGGATAATGAGAACTCGTTTTTCGGACAATCCTATTATGAGATTTGTTCGCACCCCCAGACTGATGGCGCAACTCATCCCCTAGAGCATCATATCGTTCGTTAGTGCGACCTTACATTAAGAGTCGCATGTTTAGAACCACTAGGAGTCACACGTTTAGAACCACCCCCTTACGAGTGTGGAATCTTGACGGGCTCCTGGGCTTCAACACGAACCCCCAGGCGAGAGGTGATAGGAATTTTCTTATGCACAACACACGAACATGTACAATGAGGTGTCCCGGTTTGTTTGGAGGCGGCAGGACACCTTTGAGCAACAGATGGCTTGACGGGAGGATGTGTACGACCCCCAGTTTGTGGAACTACCCGGGTTTTGTTTATCGAAGCTTTGCCTCAATCTTCACACAAAGGACCAAAGCGATCCACCATCGTAACCTTGAATTTCAACATGTCAACGATGCCATGAGGCTTTATCGGAGGTACGGAAGAGACCGGAGCAGAAAAGGAGGCTGACGGAGGCAGAGAAGCGGCTGCGGAGGGGTCTCTTTGGGCAAGACATGCTTGCTTGCCTCGACCATGGGCGAGACTGTCATAACTGTCTCAGCCACATGCTTGGTCTTTGGCCTTCAAATCCCGATTTCACGGATCTCCGGACTTCAGGACCTAGATCTTGTGGGTTTTTGATAGTTTTTTGGCCATCTCTTTCTTCTTCATGCCTTGTGCCTTTCGCACCAGTGTGTGAGCGTGTACAACACGTGCATGATGCCTTTGGATACGCTTCTTCTGGGTTGAATGAGTCCTTTTGACAAGGATCCATTCTTACATCGTTGGATTAGAGGAATTGACAACAACTTACCGTTGAAGCGGCCAGATTATTTGACGCTTCCTAGACTCCAAGTTCGCATAGTAACGAACCCCGTCAACTTGTTCTAAGGCTTTGGCAATTTGGCGAGCTTGGTGTTGGCGTTACCTCTGATGAGCCCTCTTTGTCAGAGTTAGCGTACTTTGGTTGAACAACTCCTTGATTGGAGAGGAGTTGTGGTGAGCGGAGTCACTTGTAGTCTTCATCGGTGAATACGCCTCCTTCAAAGACGAGATCTTTCCGCACTTGCAGGGAGAGGAGGATTTTAATGAGGACGAGGAGAAATATTCATCGAACTTAGCTTCGTCGAACTCGTACTCGACCGCTGAATCAACCGGGATCTTGATCTTCGGTTACAACGTTTATCGTTTACAAGATTCAAAAGAGTTAATATTTTTATAAGATTTCTCGTTACAACGAAAACAAAAAGAGATCTCCTAGAAACACATGCATGATCGTTTATCGATCGCTGCTTGCGTGGGATTTTTGCATGTGCTGGAGACGCTTTGATCAGTGGACCGCCGAGTATCAGATCCGGGTTGATTAGAACAAATGCGTGCTATTCTTGTTTTATTTTAGACATGAAGAAGGCTCGATGTTCTTGTTTTGTTTTAGACACAAGAGCAGAAGTAAATATCTCAATCATACGAGATAAATACTTTTCTATCGAGATCAAAACGACGTCTGATCCCAAGGGAAGATGGAAAAGCTGCAGATCTCTCGAAAGCTCTCTCTTTATGCTGAAGAATTCACCAAGATCTCTCTTTTGTTTCACTAAAATTCATGGGTTCTACTTTCACAATGTCAGCAACTCGCCTCAAAGTCCAAAATTCCAGATCCCTCGTGCATAGGGGCGCTAAGGGTGTATTTATAGGCTTTGAAAGCTGTGTTTTCAGATAAGAATTCGTGATTTGATATTATCTTCAATTAGAAACGACTTTCCAGCGTTTAAGGATGTTCTCAAAGCAGTTAGGGAGGCACTGGACAACACGAATCCTGAGATTTTATAAAAAAAAACACGTTTCGGGGGGATCTGCCTATGCGAGACAGACTTCTCTATCTCGGCCCCGAGACACACTTTTGTGTCTCGGCTTCAAGACACATTGCTTGTGTCTCGTTCGCAGTTTCGTCGATTTGCGCGCTTTGTTGCTTCTTTGTTCTGTTGTTTTGCGCGTTCCTTTGCTTCCCTTTCGCATCAGATGATCTTCTTTGACTTTGATATCGACATTCTTCGTCTTCTCTTTGTCTCGAGCTGCGTGCGGGACCCTATAGGCAATTTTTGACGACTACAATATGTCACGCATTCATTATATTTTGTAAGCTTTATTGCATCATATTTTAAAACTATTCTAGCTAGTTTCTTACTTTTCATCGCACTTAATACACTTTATCAATCTGTTGAGATGCAAAATTTTCAAACGATGGGAGCCGATTGTAATTTTTATAAGTTTTAAACACAATTTTAAAATTGATAAGAGTGCAATTGTACCCTCAAGACCCATATTAATATGCCAACTGAGGACGAACATATGCTGAGAAAAAGATTAAAAATAATCTATTAGTCCCAAAAACTTACCCACTTATCTTTTCTAATAAAATGATAAATTTTGATACTAAGAAGGAATTTTCATCTTTTTCCAACAAGTGCTTACCTATTGACAAGTTAAAATTGACGGCGCCAATACGAGAATAAAACTAGAAATTTTTTAAGCGATGGATTAAATTTTTTTTTGAGGAACAAAAAAGGGGTGTATGTTTAACAGCCCTCAAGTGAAATACAGAAACATTTGGGTTCCACGATGATAGGAAATTATTCTTTTGGCGGGTAATCAATTTCCATTATAAACAAAGAAGGGAAAAAACAAAAACAAAATATAAAAAATAAAAAATAAAAATAAAACAAAAGCACCTGCTCTTTCTTCCGTGCCTTCACTCCTCGCATTCACTGGACGAAGTACCATTTTCAGGGTTTAGGTTCTTTTTAGGGCTTTTACTCCTCCTCTTCTTCTTCTTTTAAGTCCCACATTCAGTATAAAATCCTTTCCTTTTGGATGAAGGTTCGAGGTTTTACTTGGAAAGCCGCCAGCTTTAGCTATCAAAGATCGAAACTTTGCTCAAAAGATCAAACCTTTTCTCCTTTTTTTGTTTTTGTTTTTTATTTTTTTTAAAATTCTTTTTCTTTGAAAGCAGACGCTGGGTCTCTCAAAGTTTAGATTTTTAAGTCTTTTCTCAGAACAAGCTCTCACTTTTAATAGTCCCTCATTCAAAAATGTGTGGATTGTGGTACTGGGGGGCTTAGTTTTTTTCTTTTTCTTCTTCTTTTATTAACCTCTCCCTCTTATCTTCAGCATATTTGGAGATGAACCTCTTAAGAAATGTGATCGTTCTCTTATTATTTTTAATCCCAATCTCCTCCCAACTCCCTTCCTCTGATGTTTTAGCCCTCCTCTCCTTCAAGAAGGGCATAACCCAGGACCCCACTGGCTACGTTGTCGATTCTTGGGACGAAGAATCCGTGGATTCCAACGGCTCCCTTCTTCTTGGAACGGCATTGTCTGCAGTGATGGCAATGTCGCCGCCGTGGTCCTCGACAACCATGGGATCAGCGGCGCCGTCGACGTCTCGGTCCTTTCTAATCTTACAGCGCTGTCTAAAATCTCAATGCAGAATAATTATTTCACGGGAATGTTGCGTGATGAGGTTGGTGGGTTTCAGAGCTTGGAGTTCCTTGATCTTTCGAATAATCAGTTCTCTGGAAGGATTCCTCGCGGTATTGGGGGCCTCGGGAGCCTTCTGAATCTGTCGTTCTCGGGGAATAATTTTTCTGGGACGATACCCGATTCGATTGGCGGGCTTGCTTCGATTCAGTCTCTTGATTTGAGCAGGAATTCGCTGTCGGGTTCTTTGCCTTCGGCATTGAAGAGTTTGAAGAGCTTGGTTTCTTTGAATCTGTCTTTCAATGCGTTTTCGAAGCAGATCCCAGCCGGGCTTGAAGGTATTTCAAGTCTCGAGGTTCTTGATCTAAGTTGGAATAAATTGGATGGGGGGATTGCTTGGAGTTTGCTTGTGGAGTCTAAAGCTGTTCATATCGATTTGAGTGGGAATTTGTTGAGGTCTTCGGATCCAAATGAGTTGGAGTTTCTGGCTGAAGTATCTGAGACCGTGAAGTATTTGAATCTTAGCAACAATCAGTTGACTGGTTCGTTGATTGATGGAGGTGAAATGTCTACTTTTGGGAGCTTGAAGGTGTTGGATTTGAGCTATAATCAGCTTGCGGGGCCTTTGCCAGGGTTTGATTACGTGTATGATCTTGAAGTTTTGAGGCTTGGGAATAATAGGTTCGACGGATTTTTGCCAAATGGCCTTCTGAAAGGGGATTCTTTGGTCCTAAGTGAATTGGACCTGAGTGCAAACAATCTCTCTGGTATATGATCTATACTTCTTATATCCGTTGTGTGTTTTCCCTTGTATTACATGGTAGTGAAATTTGTAAACTAAATGATGCCTAGGAATAATTAAGTGAATTTTATTTGAGTGCTAAACAATCTCTCACATGCATAATCTATTAAGTGAAAGATGGACGCATTAAGTAGAGTAAAAATTCTTTACTAACTTCATTAGTAGAGAATTCATAGATTGTCTGCTCTCTTGCATAATAGATTACTTCATATGGACAGTCTAGATGGAGTATTAGAATGTTCTCTTACAAATACAATATGATTGGTTATAGCGGTCAACCCATTCTTAATAGCCAGAAGAAATTCTGTTATTGAATAACAAACATTCATATATATATATGGAGATGCAGATGATTAGGAACGTAATGACCAAATTTCTTTTGAGTATGACCACAAACATTTAGCAAAACACAGTT